CAAATAAAATTCCAACGGTTGCAGTTTAGATTCATACGAAAACGATGACAAGAGAGTTTAGGAATTCACAGGTACAGCGACTAGTGGGCGGTAAGAACTATGGCGGGTAGAATAGAAAAATGAGTAAAATTAAATTTTTTGATTTTCGAGAAGGAATATTCTTCACAATCAAGCACAGGAATTAGTTTTCTAGTATATGAACAGTGAAACGGGTAAATATTTGAAGTGGGTAGAAGTAACGACATGCCAAAAATTACATTTCTCTTTGATTCTAAAAAATTATCAAGAAGAATATTACAAGGTTTTGGTTTCAGCATACGGGATTTGAAAAAATGGACTTTAAAAGTTCCGGGAGAATACAAATATTCAGATTCCAACCACACTGGAAACATACGTCGGAGGTGGATCATCTTTGATCTGGTTACATGTGGCACAATCCGAAAATTCCATGGCTCTAGCCGCTGGATTCCAGGAAGCATGTCGCATTTTCCCCCGATTTTCTTCAATCATCACCATTTCTTTATTTGTTTGACACGTTCTAACAGTCAGCAATGGAATGTGGCTTCTTGGATCTCTTTCCTCCATATGATCAAATTCAGAATTCTTACATCTGCCCATCGGATCAAAACGTTTTCTATCTTCTATCAGTTTCCAGTTCGTTTCCACTCCATATCGATTTCTCGTTACTAATTCAAATCTATCGATTTCTTTTCTTTCGACCACATCGATTTTCTCTTCTTTCAAATTCCAATTCGACCAATAATCGGGTCCTTGTGCCATTAGATTTCTGATAACCGTTGCATTGTATTCATATTTACTCTGATACGGATTTTCAATGTAGACACAGAATCCAGCTACGTATTTAACTCCACCGGCCACATAGTAAGCCACCTGGATTCTGTTATCTCCAATCATTTGGAATTCAAAATGACTATCCGGAGGTCCTCCATGAATTGGAACAAACATTCCAGGCATCGAACCACATTGGAAATTCTTTCTTGGACAAGAAACGATACATGTTGACGGTGGAAAGAGCTCATAATCACAATTGATATCGTACAACTCTCCCAATAATTTTCTCATCTTCTTAACAACATCCTTATCCTTCTCCGTCTTTCCTCCTCGATTGTTTGTTGTTTGGATACAGTAGTCTTTCGTATAGATTCTCCATGGTGGAATCGCAGTGAAATCCCAAATTTTGAGTTTAGGTCCACACAAGTTTCCTTCGAGCCAATGAGGGACTCGTGGTGTTGAAGTTCGTTTTTTGAATTGTTTGGATTTGAAGTACCGTTGGACGTAGCGGAGAATGATTATTATCTGAAACAAGAAGAAGATAGAACATTTGAACTAATAAAATGAAAAATTAATAGCGTATTACATGATTTTGAAACAGTCAATTTTCGAAGTGGTCCACAGTTTTGGAAAATAACCTGAAGTACTTTGCTACGTAGTATTAGTTCAAACTACGTAGTATTAGTTCAGAAAAATCGGGGATGTGGAAGAGAACCGTTTGGTGCCCGTGGCCAAAAGTCCCACAGATAAAACTCCATTAACCTAAAGCTATTTTCAACATCTGAATTTCTTGTTAGCTTTTTTTTCCGCTTTCAAAAAGTTTAAAAACTCGGCGAAAAAGATTGAAAAACGAGAAAATAAATCCGGAAGATAAACATATTTTAGGTTACGCTAGTTGTCGTTGGAATCTTTAGTCACGGCCACCGGCGTTTCTCCTCCACAGTTGCATTTTTTGAACCAGAATAAAAACATTTTTATTTCTCTGTTTCAGAATTTTAAGAATGGCAGGTCAAAAACTCACCGCTATTACTATCAGAAAAGATTAGAAAATTCTAAAAATGACAATTTCTTGAAAAATGGCAACATGTAATAAGTTAAGCAAAAACTAAAGTAACCCCGGATGACTTTCAGGGTCAAAAATTTTTTAATATATTTTTAGCAGAACACGATCTCCCCATCTAATTGTAAGAGCTGCAAAATCATCTTGCTCAAAATATTTTTCCAGTTTCGATACATTTTCATATTCGAGACATTTGTAAACCAGTGATCCTCGCTTTTCTTATATCCAAAACTAAAAACTACAGTAATCCTAAATTAAACTAGGATAAAACTTACAATACAAAATACGAAAAAACACATTACAGCTGACCCAGCCATGGTAGACAAAAAGTCTTGGACATCATCGTCTCTTGGCCTGAAATACGGCCCACCCTGCATCTGAAATCAGACTCAGTTGGTTGGAAAACAAAAGAAACTATAACGAAAATGAAAGATAGGGAATTCAACCCATAGAACATTTAAAAAAGGAAGCGAAGTTGAGAACAAAAGATTTTTATGAAAAAAGAGAAAATGGCACAGAGAAATAAAGAAAGACTGAAAAAACAATTTTTGAGGTGAAAAACAACATCCTGAGAAAAATGAACCGTTAGTATAAGGCAGTGAGAATTGGAAAATTCTATAAAAATTGTATATAAGGAATTATAGCCAAATAAAAAAAGTTGAAAAAAAAAATCAAATTACCATACTTGTAACGGGCCCGGGCCGGAATTATACATATATGCAAATTACCGTATTTGCTCTAAAATAAGCCTACCCAAACCGTCAACTTTTAGCTTAATTATCTCGGTTCCTATGAGAAATATCAAAATTTTGTCAACTGACAAATTATTTATCACAATATCACCAGTATTTTATCAGTTGACACATTTTTGTTATCTCTTATAGGAAGATAATTGGGCTCAAGGTTGACGGTTCTTGTGGCCTTCTATTGGAGCAAATAAGGTACAGTAAACAAAACAAAAATTTTTTAAAATCCATCACAGCCATACATCTCGCGGGCCGGGCCGGGTTTTGAGGCAAAAATTTTTAAGTGTCATTTTTTGAGAGAAAACTGTTTTTGGGAACATTTTATCAAAAGTTTTTTGTTTTCAGGTTTGAGAAGGGTCATGGGATAAATTTCGTGCTTTAAAATTATTATTTAATTTTTCTGATAATTTTTGATAATTTTTCTCCAGCCCGGCGCGGCACGGCCCGGCCTGGCCCACGGGCGCGGCCGGGCCGGGCCGAGATCTAGCAAGTATGATCACAGCCATTTTTGACTGTTTTGAGCTGTGAGATAGGAAGGAGGCGGAGCATCATCTGGTTGACTGCAACTTTCGCATTTCGAGAATGTCAGATTTTTGGTAGCGGGATCCCATTCAGCATGTACAACTTCCCCTTTTCTTCTTTCAATCATAACAATCGATTTTTTGAATTGACACATTTTTACAGAAAACGTTTCCGATTGAACTTCAGGGCGGATCATTTCTGCATTAACCATTTCGATCTGTTGGAATTTCTTTTGATCTCCAAGATGTTTCCAATATTTGATCTCTCCGTACACACTTCTGGTCATCAGAATCTGATTATCACTCATCATCTTAATCGCCAGTGATTCTTCTCGAACATTCACAGTCGACCAGTACTCGATTCCATTCAGCAACTTTTTTATAATCGATTCCCGATAGTGAATTATTGATTGATAAGGATTCTCAATGTAAATACAAACTCCAGCGACATACTCGATTCCTCTGACTTTATAATATGTCACCTGAATCCTATAATCTCCAATCATTTGATATTCAAATGTTCTGGTCATTGAAACTTCGTCGTTTTTTGAAATAAAAACTTCTGGCCTTGCAGTCGAACACTTGAAATTTCTCATCGGAATCGAAATGACGCATGTCGAATCAGGAAGTGTTCGTGCATCTACAGTAATCCCGAAGACGTCAGTCAACACTTTTCTCATCATCAAAATCACCAATTTCTCCTTCTCCTTGACTTGTCCCGTACTGTTCACCCATGTCTTTTTTGCGTAGTGCTTTTGATAGATTTGAAATTTCGGATGCTCGAATTCTCTGTATCGTTGAAGATTTCCTAATTTCAGCCAGAATGGTAGTTGAGGAAATTTGTTTCTCGTTTGAAAGTGGAACGACTTGAGGTACATTTTGATATGTCGCACGATGGCGTAGATCTGAAAATTTGACTGTTTCATAGTTTTTATTTCAAGATTTTCTTTTTTTCAGTTTTCACTACTATGAAAGTTACTATTCTTCTGGTCAGAAAAATCGGAGCTGTGGCAGAGAATCACCGGTGGCCGTGGCCGAAGGTCCCACAACGTCAACTACAGTAACCTAAAACGGTTAAACTTTCCGGTTTTATTTTTTCGTTTTTTCACTTTTCATCAAAAAAGTCGGAAAATCCAAGTTTCTGATAGTGTGATAAATTGTTAAAACTTCCGGAAAACGCCAGTAAAATTGATTTTTCTTTGATTTTTTGCAAAATTTTTAGACCTTTTTAAGATATTCAGGTACTTGTGAAGATTCTTTTTCGATTTTTCAGAATTTTTTCGTCTCAAATTCGATGGAACGGTGTTTGATTACAGTAGGATAATGTAGATTACTGTAAAAGACTCATTTCCTTTTAATTATTTTTTTTTTCAAACAAAAAAGTTTTTATCTGCATTCTGACGTGATTGCGTTTGCGAAAAAACTACAGTACGAAATTAGGTTTCTACAGTAATCTACAGTAATCTAACACCGTTCCATCAAATTTCAGACGAAAAATTCTGAAAAACCTAAAAAAGGTCTGAAAATTTTGCAAAAAAATTAGCAAAAAATCATTTTTTTCTGGATTTATTTTTTGATTTTCGTGCAGTTTTCCCTCAATTTTATCACTATCACGGCCACCAGTTTTGCTCTTCCACAGCTTTTAGGTACCAGTATAATATGTCCTGTTCTTTTTTCTTCATTTTCAGCTTCCAAAATTTTAGAAGTTTTGAAAATTGCTATTCTATCAAAAACTCACCAAAATTATTATCAGAACGGCTAATAAAACTCCAAAAATGACAATTTCTTGATATATATTCGAATCGTCCGCAGAATTCCCTACATACATCTGAAATTTTTAGTATTTTATAAATTCAAAATTCGGTGAATAAAAATTAAAGGAAACGAAAGATGGAACGAAACCAATAATAATCAAATTGATTTAAATTAAAAAAAAAATTTAAAATCTTTATCAGGTACAGAGAAAATGTATAAAACAAAGATGAAATGAGTAGAAAGGTGCTGAAAATATCCAAAATTGTCTGGAAAGTGGAGGATGAGGGGAAAAAAGGTAATTCACGAGAAGAGCAGATGAGGATCGAAACCGGGAATGTGTGAAGATTAGTCTGAAATTTTTTTCTGTTTCAAGTTTTTCACAAATATAAGTATTTATACAATCTATTAATCCTTTATAAGTACTCAAACTTTATTTTTCTTATCGCAAAAAGTCCAGAACGATGTTTTTTGATTCAGACTACAGTGTTGAATTTTAAAACTTTTTTTTGAGAATATTTCGAATTGTAAAGACTTTGCTTGACTGAAAATAGAGAAACGAACACGAAAAAACCTACACAGAAAAAATTTAGATTTTTTTCTGTTTCAAGTTTTTCACAAATATAAGTATTTATACATTCTCCTCTCCACTGCGTGTCATGGAGAAATTGTTTTCTCTAGTCCTACGCTGAAATATAAGACTACAAACGAAAATTATGGATGATACAGATTTATTTATGATGGATATGGTGTGTAGAATGCAGTGGTGCTTCTAACAGAGAGAGATGTACTGTATGTGCGGGTATAATGACAAGGGGAAAGTAGTTATCCGGTGATAACTAAACAACGGGGACAGAAGAATTTTGGATGGCACAAGCTGAGAAACAAGCGATAAATTAGTAAGAACAAACAACGACATGAGAGAGAGAGAGAGAGAGAGAGAGAGAGACACTTGTTAATGAGAACGATAATATACTATGAAGCGGATAGGTTTGATAAATAACTAAGAAACGTTTCGGTACTACAATAACCTGTTAATACGATTCTAACAAATATTACAAGATAAGCAAGCAACTGAGTCAATTAGACTTCCTTCTCTAGCACTGGTGGTCCATCGTCCTCTTCGGCTTCCCCTGTCACTTCCTTCTCCTCTGGAACCTCGCTGAGTCCCTGGGCCATTGGATTGTCTTGGAGATATCTCATCAAGCCACCTCCCGATCTCCACCGTCATTTGGCTTTGATTTGCTCTAAAGTGAGTCCCTTGGCTTGAAGTTCGTTCGCCGATCCTCTTCTGAGCGCGTGATGAGTGGCGCTCACTCCTATCATTTCCAAACGTCTTCTGGCGATAGACGAAATAGTGTTTGCTGATAGCTTATCACCTTTTTGAAAACTCGGGAACAAGAACTCTGACGTAATTCCTGATAGTGAGACCCTAACTTTCCATCGCTTGATGAGACAATCCAGATCTCCTCCTTCTGGGCATTCCACGAAAGTGCTCCGTCCCAAACCGAGCTGATCGTTTTTGGCCGATCTGATTCGGACTTCTAGACGATTCTTAGAAAACTTGATATCTTCCCACTTCAGCTCTGCAGTTTCACTTGCTCTAAGGAGAGCGAAAAACGACAAAACCACTATGAGTGTATCTCGCTCCGATTTGGGATCATCCGAAAGTGCTTCAAAAAGTTTCTGGATACTCTCAAGTTCCACCATTTTTGGTTGTTGTCTGGTGGCTATCTCCTCTCTTCTCTTTGCTCTGATCATATCCGACACCATTTGACTTTCCAGAACCGAGAATGTCCCATTTGCCATTCGAAACGCGGAAGCGATCTTTGCCAGAGAACCGCTTCCTGTTGTCAAAAATCGATGAGCCAGGTAGAGAATCGTCGTTTTCTCGTCCAGAGGGAGATGGTTTGCGCTTAACCACTTCCTCCTCACATGATTCTCTCTGTCATACGCTTTTATTGTATTGATGGCTTTCGACTTTCTGCTGACGGTTCGTAGAACATGTGTGAGTTGATTGAAGTCCACTGGTCCTCCATACTCAGCTACTTCCTCCAGGAATTTCAATTTTCTTCCTTCTGAAATACGATGTAACTATTATACTATTCTCTCTCTTTATCACGTTCAGATTCTTGTGTCTCTACTCTACTCATTAGTTTGACTTTTCTGTTTGTGCTGTTGCATATCGTCGTGTGGGGACTGGGCGGGCGGGACGTAACACACACGTAGAATGGAGGCCCGATGGGCGGCGCTTCCCACTCTCTCCCCTCTTTCGTGTCGGGATCCCTGGAGCGCGCAAAGGTCTGTACCTTTAAACGCGATCAACAAAACAACAACAGAAATTGGCCTATTTAGAGAAAACCAGCTAATCCCAGAGAAAACAAACAAATCTATTAATCCTTTATAAGTACTCAAACTTTATTTTTCTTATCGCAAAAAGTCCAGAACGATGTTTTTTGATTCAGACTACAGTGTTGAATTTTAAAACTTTTTTTGAGAATATTTCGAATCTTAAAGACTTTGCTTGACTGAAAATAGAGAAACGAACACAAAAAAACCTACACAGAAAAAATTTAGATTTTTTTCTGTTTCAAAATTTTGTGAAATAACATGATTTATTTAAAATTTTAATCCTTTATAAACGTACTTATAAAATAATTTTTTTTCTTGCTGCAAGAAATCTAGGAGATTTTTTGTTTCAGAATGTGAAAACGAATTTCCAGATTTACATTTTTTTTTTGAAAATATGTTGGATCGTGATGATAAAATTTTTTGACTAAAAATAGAAAAATCCGAGAAAAACTGAATATAAAAAAACAGACAGTGCAGAAAACCCAATTTTCCAAATTCAGGTTTTTCCTGTTTCAAATTTTTCATAAATTTAATGATTTATTTAATTTATTAATCCTTTGTAGTTGTAATTTAAACGTTGTTCTTTTCTCATTAGAAGATTCAGAACTGCAATAACTTTTCGGTTTTCTTGATTGTTTCCAATTCCAAAAATCCACAAATTTATTTTAAGAAACTAGAATCCAAAAATCCAAAAAAAAATTCAAAAAAACCAAAAGTTGAGGGCGCAAGAAAAGTATATAAATTTTTTAGAACTGATTTTGAATGCATTTACAGTAACTAAGGGACGAAAATTTATGCATAAATTAACCCAAGTTACTGTAAACAGTCTAAAAGGCCACCCTATCCTTGTATTGTGAACTCCGTTATCTCAATTTCTATAAGAGTTATCAAAATTATGTAAACTATCAAAATGTTTGTCATAAAATTACCAACATTTTATCATCTGACAACTTCTCGTTATCTCTTATAGAACTTGTGATAATTGATTTCAAGTGAAAGTATAAGATGGCATCTTATTAGAGTAGGGCTCATAGACAGGTTTTTTCTTAATTCCTCAGATATGATCAACTTACAATTTATGATTTGTGAAAATGTGTCAATTCGATCAATTCCAAAAATTCATAGGACGGTGGCTCATCTTCCAATCCTCCATCCCTATCAAATCTTCCTCTAGAATTGTTGTTACACTCGCAACAACTCTGTGTTTTGAATTTTCCAATCTCCGAATCCCAATTAAAATGAGCCACTTTTCCAGTTGAATCCTTTCCAACCATCACCAAATCATTCCATTTCTCACAGAATTCCACTTTCAAAAACTTTGAAAAATCCAGTGTTGGTAGAGGTTTCGAACTATTCTTCGCCGTTGAATTCTCGATTGACAAAGTGGAAGAATCATAAAAACAATCTGCACATTTCACCAATTCCATTTGATTTTCCTGTCCATTAAATGCAAATTTATCAACCTCTCCAAACTCGTTTCGTGTCACAATAATCCATTCATTTCGATACGGACACCAAACTTTTCTCATTGATTTTTCTTTGAAATTTGCTGGATTTGGTCGATAGATACTACAATTTTCAAATGCTCGGACCACATCATCCTTGATAATTTTGAATGGATTGTACCAGTCGTCCATATAAATACAAATTCGAGCCATATACTTTGAGTCTTGATAATGGAACCAAGTGACTTGAACACTTTGAGAACACATTTCATAGGTGTATGTCCCCTCGGCACCATCCTTCGGTACAAAATCCACAAAATATTCACCATCAACACGGAAACTTTCCTTTGGAATCGCAATTGATACCACATCTCGAGGAACTACGAAATCTGGCTTCCGAATGAAATCCGGTCCGTATAAGGCCTGCATTGTGTCTTGTAAAACCCACATTCCCATTTCCGGAATTGGTACCATTCTTCTCAAAAATCTTCTGCATGTATTCGGTTTCTCACATTGCACGACTACATTTCCATTGAATTCGTATTGCCACGTATTCTCTGGATTCAGGTGTTCTATGAAACGGAACCTTGTGGGTTCTGTTGTCTCCTTTCTTTTCCTACGGTAGTATTTGGACATTACGATGCATGAGATCTGAAAAATTAAATTAGAAACTTTAAAAATATTTTTGGGCTTCCAATCCTATAAACACCCTAAAAGAAAGCTAAGCAACTTTTACCTTTGAAGCTCAAAGCTTGAGCTCAATTTATCTCGGTTTCCATAAATGATATGGAAAAGTTGTCAACTGACAAATTGTTTATCATAACATCAAAAGTTTTTCGTCACTTGACAACTTTTTCGTATCTTTAACAGGAACTGAGATAAATTGACTCAAATAAGTAGATACATCAAAAAATACCCATTCGATTCATCGTCGTTTTTATCTTCAGTCATTCCTGAAAAGTGAATTATCAAGAAAACGGAAAAATGTGGGTGTGATTCTCAGAAAAAAAGGAATGACAGCGGAAATTGTGGTTTTTTGGGAGGGGATGGAATTGTATGAGGAGGAGTAAAAGGAACTAGACATTACACTTTTAAATTTTTTCCCTGTTTCTGATGGTTTCGATAATATTCAGTAAGGAAGTATGGAACAGTGATGCCGATTTTTGTTTCATTTTCACTTTGCACGCTCCCCCAGAGAACAATTCCGAACTGCAAATTAATTTTTGATCTACAGAAAAAAGTTTGGCGCGATCACAATTGCAGGTCTAAAACCATAAATTCAGAATTTTTTATCTGATTTTGTGGAGTTCCAAGATGATTCAAATAATTCTTTAAAAATTAATTAGTGGTTATAGATTCATGTATGGTCCTTTTCCCGAAGAAAAAATGTCAAAAATGGTCATTTTTGAGATTTTTACAGAAAAAAAAATCTATCTCCTCTTTCAGTTTTTGACATTTCTAGGAGTTCTATAGCTCAAAAAAACCGCAATTATTTTCTCTACATTATCTGTAAATGAATTTTAATTCATCTTATAAAACTTTTTATAATCAAAAAACAACGCAAAAATGCGATTTTGTGCAATTTCATGAGGTTTTTGAATTATAAAAAAAGTTTTATCAGACGAATTAAAAATTCATCCATACAAAATGTAGAGAAAATAATTGCGGGTTTTTTTGAGCTATAGAACTCCAAGAAATGTCAAAAACTGAAAGAGGAGATAGATTTTTTCTGTAAAAAACTTTCAAAAATGACAATTTTTGACATTTTTTCTTCGGGAAAAGGACCATACATGAATCTATAACCACTAATTAATTTTTTAAGAATCATTTGAATCATCTTGGAACTCCACAAAATCAGATAAAAAATTCTGAAATTATGGTTTTAAACCTGCAATTGTGATCGTGCCAAACTTTTTTCTGTAGATCAAAAATTAATTTGCAGTTCGGAATTGTTCTCTGGGGGAGCGTGCTAATGACGATATTTTTTATGTTTCGGAAGATTCTAAGGATAACGAAAACTGTCGAAACCAAGAAAATCTCGAAATTTCACAAAACTATCTATTACTTAATGATTTTATAAGGGACAGATTCGAGGAGATTAAAATGCGAACATTTTATTTGAATCGGCATACTGAAATAAAACAGGAAAACCGGTAATCGAAGCTTTCTCGGTTAGTGAATCATCAAACTTTTTTTCAGGTTAATGTTCTTATGGAATATATACAGAATTTCAACGGAACTAAAATAATGAAACTATGGAAACACAATTTTTTATTTGAATTTTTTGGATCTTTGCGGAATATTTGGACAAAAATGTGCTTGGGACTTAATCAAAGCGAGCGACCTAGAAAAAATTATGAATGAAAAGCAACTTTAATAATAAGGAAGAGCGGAACACTCATATAGGTAAGACGACAGGAAACGTTTCTTGATTTTACTGATTTTTCACGTATTGTGTGTTTTTATCTTTGTAGGAGAAATTATCCGGAAAAAATGATAGATAGTTAATCTTCCGTGATTAAAATTGTAAAATAACGCTCTCTGTAGCAGAACATAACCCCAAAGTACCCCTCCGAATTAACATAAGGCTATGGCATTATATTGCAGTTTTTACGGTAAACCTGCCTACTGTACCGAATTTTCTTACTTGGAATATTTTTTCAGTTTCTAGTGGACCACCGATCAAATTGGATATCAAACTGATGTTGTGGATATTTATGTTGATTCGATTCGAGATACAGTTTTCTACGGTGGAACGTCTAAAAAATTGATGATGCCAGCGAAAATCTCAATGAAATAATATGTACCTATCCGACAAACTTCTGAATGCATATTTTTTTCAATTGTACTTTTTTACAACTTCAATAAAGTGCTAATTTAAATGTGTTATTTTTTAATACGAGTGAAGGGAAAGGAAAGAAGCGAACGCTCGCGCGGCAGCGCTTACGCCACCTTTCTGTAGCAATTCTGTCGACTTTCTATAAATGTTCATAAAGAAGTCGGCAGAACTACTGCAGAAAGTCGTCAGGAAACCCCGAGATTCTTTTGATTCAATCTACTTTTATACTGGTTCATCACTTCACTCTTCACTTTTTCTTGAAGGGTCACGTAAATTTAAATTTATTTTTCAAGTTTTTCAAAAGTTGACAGACGGACATTAGGACGGACAGACGCCTCTAGCGTTTTATATCAAGGCTGTGCAAAATGGCGGCCAGCCGCGGCCGGCCCCCACTTTTATGTGAAAGCCGTGAAAAGCCGCAGCTAGCCGAGGCCGGCCGCGTCTAGCCTTATAAAAACGCGTGAAGTGAAAATCTATTAGTTTTTGAAGAATTTCGTTTTTTTTGTGTCCCACTTTTCCAAAAAATCTACGTTTCTCATGAAACAATTATTTTAAAAAGCCGTGAAAAGCCGCACGGCTAGCCTGGGCCGGCTTCATCAAATGTTTTTTCGGAAGCCGCGGCCGGCCGTGGCACAGCCTTGTTTTATATATAAGGAATATTGAATTTTCCTTGGATACAAAATAAAAGGGACTTGGAGATGTTGAACTTGGTGGAGAGTTCTAAAAACTTGAGAAACAAAATGAAAATTTAAAAATATAAAATCACTGAAACTTTAAAAAATTGTTTTTCAGTCAGGAAAATATTATATTTTCCGCATACTTCATACTGGCCTAACTTGAATTACACAAAATAAAATTAAAATAATTAAACTGACCAATGACCTAAAATCGTTAGACAGATCGGACATGAAAAATTGGTAAATTTAAAGTAGAAGCATGATTTGAAAACTTCTAAATTTCAGATTTTTTTGGCAGAGAAATGCTTTGCAACTAAAAGATTCAGAGAAATTGAGTACATATAAAACATCATCTTTTCGATGTTTTCCTAATATTATGCCAATTATCTTTTGATAAATGTGAGAATAGCAAGGACACAAAAATTACAATGCACAATAAGGGGAATACTTTCTGATATTCCTGAAATACAAACTTTTTCTGTTTCAGTAGTTAGTAAAAAACCACGACATAAAGTTAGCCATATTATCCTTCTCGAGCAGTCAGAGAAAAATCTCCTTTTAGAAACAAAAACAGAAAAATGTTAGAATACAGTAAAATTCTTCCGAACTAAACAAAAAATATCTGAACCTGATTCTATGAAAATATTGCTCTTTCTAAAGGGTTTATCTAGTCTAAAATCAATCTTCTCTAATTAGTTTCTTGAATAAATTTTAAAGTGAGAAAGTCCTAATTGAGAACATAAAATATCTGGATAATATATGCCTAATTTTACACAAAAGAAAGGAAGCGGTGAGGTGGTGGCATCGTCTTTATACTATTGGATGTGCGCAAATCTATCTTCCGATGAGAGATAGACAGACGGAGAATAAGAAAGACGAGATGCACATGATGAGAGAGGTAACAAGGCAGGAGAGACAACAGAGAGGAGGGTACTCTTTAGAAGAAAGCAAATGGCTCATGACGTCGAGTATTCTGAGCATTCAGATAATGAAATAAGAGAAAAGAGCGTATCATGGGACGAACTAATGAACGTGACGTTTGAGGGGAGAAGAATACGAAGAAGGCGTCAAAGGAAATGGAGAAACAGGAGACGAAGACGAAATTTATGAGGGTCGTTTGAATTCACAGAAAATTCAAAAATAGCTGTGTTAGTTGGTAGTATTTTTAAAAAGGATGGGGTGAATCATAAAATAGAATACGGTGAAAGGACAAGAAAAATGAAAATTATATTCCAAAAATATGCTTCTTAAAACTTGACGACTTGCTCAAAAAACGCTGCAAACTTGAAAGGAATTTTGAAACTACCGTGTTTGTTCTAATAGGAACACATCCAAATCATTAGCTTTGAGCTTAATTATCTCGATTCCTTTAACAGATATCAACAAGTTGTTAACTGATAAATTACTTAACAAAATCTCACCAATTTTTTATTGGTTGGCAGATTTTTTGATATCTCATAGGAACTGAAATAATTATGCTCAAAGTTGACGGATTGGGGGAGCTTCTTGAACAAATGGAGCAAATTCGGTTAGTGTATTTCTTTTGAAGTTTTTTAATATATTTTCAGTGAATCTATACGATCATCAGAAATTCCTTATTGAAACAATAATTTTCATCGTTTTCTTCTTTCTTTTTATGCAAATGTTCGTTCTTCATTTTACTTATTTACTAGCACTTTCGTAAGTTCGGTGCCGTTGGTTTTTGTGCTCTTTTCTCTCATTTCGTCATCTGAATTTTCTTTCTACGTCACAACTTCATTCATTTTTAGATTTCCTCTAACAAGAAACACTTTTTCTCTCTTTCTGTTGTCTCTTCTAACTTGTTTTCTCTCTCATGATGTGCATCTCGGCTTTCTCATACTCTCTATCTCTATTTCTAGATTTCTTGGGACACATAATATATCTGCGCACTTCAAATAGTGTAAAGATTTAACAATGGCATCACTTCATTTTTTGAGTAGAATTAAGTGGAGTAGCGGTACATAGAAATTTTTTACAGTTACCTTTTTTTTAAAGCAACCGAGGTCAAAGTGCACGGAGAGGGTGGTCTTTTATTGGAGAAAATACGACGACACATGAATCGCTGTTTCGAAAACCGCATATATTAAAATTATTCCGTTTTTTCGGTAATCAACGGTGAAATTCTGAAATAAACTTGGCAACATAACACAGTTTTTGAATCACAATATTTATTAGAAAAAAAGAAAAGTAGATCAATTATTACTGTATTTCTGTTATGAAGTCCAACTGATGCTGCACAAACTCTGAGTAGATCTGATCCTTTCCAATGATGTCCTCCAGATGTCCTTGAATTATGCTGGGCAACGACTTGAATAATTCCATGTCATCATGGGTTTCGATCTTTGACTCGAGAACTCTCATCGTGACGTGGTATGCTGATGGAAAAAGCTCCTTGAATTCCACTTCGTATTTGTATGAACAGTGGACATACTGACAGATGTCCATTGTGAAAAGGGTGATTTCATTCTTGAATGATTGCTCCTCTTCGATGTACAATCCATTTGGTCCGACTTCTGGGAATTCTACATCGGCTCCGATCTCGTGCTTCAACCACCATGGCAAAGTGTGTCTGAGAATTTCGAGAAGATAGTTCACTTTTCCAATGTAGTGCATTTCGGACTTCAGGTGGTTGTACGCCTTTGTGTACCAAGATGGGACTGTCAGACGCGAGAAGGTACCACGGTCTCTAATCATCAGCTCGAAGTACTGCCGGACGTCGTCTCTGAGGAACGAAGCATACTCTTGAACCCGCTTCTCACATCTTCCAACTTCATCGTCTGAGTAAATCTTTGGTGGGTACTCTCCATTTTCATCACGGTCCACAACAAATGGAAGCATTTTATAGAGAATATTACGGAAAGTAGAGAATATGACGGTAGTCAAGAAGACTGGTGACTAATTTCTGTTCTGGGGTTTCTTATATAGACTTTTGTTAAGTCCCGCCCACATGTCTGTTTTTGTGGGAATCCAGGTGGGGTTGCAGGGGAAGATCTGAAGACGGTCAATACAGAACTGAAGGCGGCTATATGCATATTGTGACGAGACAGTAAACCATTGAGTGACAAGGTGAAGAAGAAAAAACAGTCTCATCATGAAACTCTCATGTCTTGAAAATGAGGTTTCAGAATGCGATGGATAAGATAGAGTTGCAGAAAGCGGAGCGACCAGCCAGAAAACAAACTAGATTTAATCGCGCCGAAGGCGCACCAGCCAGATGTGAAAGATGTTTAAAAAGGGTTTTTTATCCAGAATTTTTTTATCCTTTAAAGGGGGTTTTCAGGATATCCAAACCTACTGTCATTAATATTTACAAAAACCTATTTTTCAGTTGATTTTCGGCCACTTTGACCATTTTCAGGAGTCTCGAGCTCGGCTGTCAGGTTTTCGATCACTTTGAAAGTTTTGGAGAATGTTAAACAGACCTTGAACAGTAAACTTGCATTCGGAAACATTTTTGGATAGTTCCTTTTATTTTGGATTTCTGTAAGACACCCCTTATATGCCGGTTTTTGTACTGAAACGTGGAAAAACAGGTTTCTTCCAGAAATCGAAAACAAAAGGAATTTTCAAAAAATCCTGTGATTCCAAGCTTCAGAGTCCTGAAAATTGTCACAATCAACTGAAAAAAACGGGTTTTCTGAGAAAGTTTATGAAAAAAAACAAAAAGTGTACTGATTAGCCAGACGTTTTGTCTGTTGATCCCTTTCGCCACGTAGAGGCTCAGCACATGAAAGGGTCCCCCCGCCCTGGTCTCCGAGGACCATTGTTGGATAATTTCCGAAGTTCCTTTCCCTTTGTAAGGAGCCTTACATACGCTTTTTATTGATATTCGTTCAATTCTTTCAATCTTTGATTGAATCTATTGCAAAAGGGGGACGTTCAGTGGAAATGATTCTACCTAGCCATGAACCCCAAAACATGGCGACCCGTAGGGTCTTCTAGTACTTTTTTCGCAATCGATCAATCAAAAGATCAAAAGAAATGAACCCAAAAAAGCTAAGTGTATGCAAAGAGCTTCTTACCAGAGAGAAGGGCTTGTGAAAATTATTCAATTCAACAATAAAATTCAAACAGTGGGATTTCACAGAGAACGTTTTTTTTCAATACGTTGAATATTTTTTTCAGCGTGGACAGAAGGAGATGACGTGACCTTCTAATTTTTGATTTATTAATTTATTGCGTTACGCAAATAAGAAATTGAAAAATGTTTGATAAACTCGAAAATTAATTATAATTTGACGTGACCTTTCGATAAAGTGAGGAGCGGAGCGACGAACAGTAAAGTAATTAGATCAAGTCGCGCCGAATGCCCACCAGCCAGCTGTTTGAAATGACAGAGGAACAGCAAACAGGCTCGTGTAAAAGTATTAACCGTAAACTCTTCAATAGAACGCCTCAAACCGTTTATCCCATATATCTCGTTTTCTGTAAAATAAATCAAAAAGGTGTCAACTGATAAATTGTTAATTGTATTTTATTTCATATTTAAGAAAAAGTGAGGAGCGGATCAGCTAACCGGTAAAAACTATATTAAATCGCGCCAAAGGCGCACCAGCTTGCTGGTTTAAAAGATTTAGTCAGTTGACTACTTTTTGATATCTTTCGTAGAAACTGAGATAAACTGGCTCAAAGTTGAAAGTTATGGGTGTAAATAACTCTTACAAGTTTTTAATAGACTAGAATTACGGCAGCGAGTTTCGCAACAAATGTGGAACTGTAAAAAAATGTAGCTAAAACCTAGAAATTCAACAAAAAATCCCTTTGGTACAAGTATGTAGTTTCGTCACATGAATACTGTATAAAACAGGCATTTTTGTTCTCTAAACTTTCATTTTCGATCTTCCTTGTTTATGTTTCAGTAATTTGTGAAAATTTGCAAATTAATTTGTATTTTGATGGGTGAACCGACTATCTCGACCGACTATCTCGTTTCTCTGAACATTTACGAAAAATTTGTCAATTACAAAATTGAATCGCTGTTTTTGTTGAGTATACTCCGAAATTTTCAGACAAATCAAAAAATTCTGGACTATTTTTGGAGACTAAAAACTCATTGAATCGAGATGCCTAATGAAAAGTCATTTTAGAATGAAAATTTGGAACAGCAAAATTTTATTGATTCCCGATAAAACAAAAACGAAGCAGAATTGATATGGATAAAACCAGAATGCACATAAAACTATTAATACCAATTATTAAATCAAAAATGAATTGTATTGTTGCACGAGTTGCTCCATGGATAGTCGACGGTAGATTTTGATTTGAGAAAGTTTTTCGGACCTGAACATAATTTGAAAAACTGAAATTTTCTGAATTTCAAAACTACCTGACAGCGCATCCAAAACAAAATGTTTCCCCATTTTTATCCATTGGAATCAAGTTAAAAACGACGACTTTGCACTTAATACATCGTTCGACGGCGTAGATTACAGAACTTTCAGATGCACCGACAACACAGGTAAAATGCGAACGGATCCGTTACGGACGCTCAGCGTTTGCGCGCGGTTGAAATAGGAACCGCATACGGACCGCACGCGACCCGTTTTCAGAAAACCACAGCACATTATTCCGTATTCCTCCGTATTCTGTCCGTTCGCGAACTCCGTATCCGATCCGCTTGCGAATGATGGACAAACGGAAATAATATGTATTTTGCTGTTCTAGCGCACCTTTTCGCCCATCCTCAATTTTCTCATTTTTAAGTTATTTTAAGGCTTATTTTTAACATAAACAAGTCTTACCTCTTCAAAAATGTGTCATTTTCAACAATTTTCAAAAATGGTAAAAAGGTCGAAATGCGCTACCTTGAAAATGTGGTCGAAATCCAGTGGTCGAGATGGTCGAAAAAGTGCGCTAGAATGGTGAAAAAAAAGCTAAATAAATGATGAAGCTAGAGAAAGATCTCCTTGCTTTAATCGAAGTATTGGAAATCAAGAATTGTAGAGGTATCTTCATGCGAGACACTTTACCACCACAATGGATACAACCACGAGAAGTAGGAATTATGAATTCAGTAACAAAAGCAAAAGATACTATGTGAGGTAGAATACACGTTTTATTTATGGTTCTGAGATCACTATCGACAAGTACAACCCAGCAAGACGAAGATTACTGTTAGTGAACAGTGGAATTCAAAACAATTTGAAGATTTTCTAAATTCTTGTTCAATGTATCGACGTATTCCTTCAGTTGAACTGTGGGACTATAGCATAATTTCCGCTTCTTAAAGCCAAGTTCTATTCCTTTTAAAACGTCTTTTGTGGGATCGAGTTGTTCTTGAGCCAGTTCGAGCTTACGAGACAAATCCCACTTATCCAAATTCTGTTTGGCTATCTTCAACCATGAGTTGTCGTCCAATTTATTTTTCACTGCTTTGAACTCTTCTTTCCATCTTGAGTGTGGAAAAGTTGTAAACAGTTGGGCTTTGATGTCATCATGAACTGTAATCTCATTTTCCGGTGCGAAGTCAACAATCGCAATGTTATTGGTCCCTTTCCAGATCCCTGAAATTAATAAATCAATAATATTCAGGTTTTCAGACTTTGAAACAAACCGCAGTTTTGTAGATGAAGGTCAGCAATAAATAATAACACCCGCAGCAAAACCAGCTGCACGGCTAAATCAGCGGTAAGACCATTCTCTTGGATAACGTGCTCCATGAGTTTAAAATTGTCGTCCCATTTTGTAGCAATGTACCTACAAATGCATAGGTATGTAAGTCACTTTCTATACTACATATATTGCTACTTGTTACTAATATGTATATATCCTTACACGCTTGTTTTTGTTCCAGTAGTGATGATGGGTGGAACAATGTGGCATGTTGGTCCGAAGGCGATCAGCTCCAACAGCTTGTAGCAATATAGTTCGTTGATGTCCGGAGGCTGGCCCGAGCTTGTGCCTTTTGGTCCAAAAAACATCTGAACATTACAGATCAATCTTGATTTCGATAAAAATAAAATAGGAAAAAACAAAAACGGATCTTGAATGAATGAATCGAAAACATACTTGATGTAGAACTTCGAAACGAAGTCTTCACCATGGATCCGAACAAATGCCAGTGTATTAGTAGATCTGCCTCCTAATTCGAGATCTTTGTCTTCGAAGTTGCAAATAAACTCGGATTCTTGGTTTCCTCTCTTCAGATCATGAAGACGGTGGAAGTATTGTTCTGCCGCATCACGAATCAAATTGATGTCCCCATCGGTCCAAGAGGCGACTTTAGAATGTTTTTGTTTTCGATAGTCGTCGAATTGAAGGTAGACATCGAAGAATCCACATTTCATCAGAAGTTCGTGATGTCTCGGCTGAAAAAATACCATAAACCTGTAATAGAAGCCCCCCCCCCACACTGACAAGTTTGAGCTCAAATATCCCAATTGGCTCAAAGTTATAAGTTAGGGAGACCTTCTGTTAGAGATTTTACGGTAGTTTCGTTTATATAATTATTGTTCGCACCCTTTAACAAGAGCGGAACTCTATGGTCCTACATCACACGTTTCTCTCGGCTCATTTTCTCTCCAAGCTGACGTTGGAATTTTTTAAAGATATTTTGGTGCCGACCTAGAATTATGAACATATGTATTTTTCTAGCAATTCGGCCTACTGCAGATTTATAAAACATTTGATGAATAGCTCCACTATAACTGGTACATGTGGCCTTCTTCCGTTCCTGTTCCTTTGCATTCATTGATACTGTAGCCATCGGGATGATAAATCCTTTGCCAGCCTGATTAACTTCATGCAAAAAGTCTCCTGTTGGAACTGCTGATCTAGCAAGTCCATTCGGAATAAACTTAGTTTTTTTGGTACAATAATTCGCTTCCGCCAATGAATCGATTTGGTTTCTATGCAACTGCTGGATGTTCTCACAAATGATCCTTCTGATGTTGAAATCGTTGGATAGTAGATCTTCCCATATTTTTTTCAGCAAATAATTACTTTCTGTTCTATTCATCGATGGAGTGTATTCACAAAGAGCAATAGCCTTTTCAGATGGATCCACACGAGCAAGAGCAATATTCGGAAGATTGTATTTGTATCCATCAAGAGCCAGAAGAAGATTTCCGTTCTCTTTGTTGTAGATCAAATCATTTGTGATTGATTCACTAGCATCTATCCAAACACTAGAAACTCGTGTGAAATAGTCTGGAAATTTAAAGAATCCGGATTTTTTTCAAATTATTTTTCAGTGTAAAGATCGTTACCATTGATTCTGAATGGTAGTGTCTCTCGATGCATGAACGCAATATGGACAAGAGGAAATACGGTAGATTAAAAATCGAGTGAATTATTTACAAGTATACATTTATTTACATCTTTACAATTTACAAAATTTACATGAAACTATATGTACAATTTAAAACGTAAAGGATTCAATTGAGATCAATTTTGAAAATACCAGAAATTGAAATACATGTGCAAACTTAAAAAATCAAAAAAATATATTACAGAAAAAAAATTTACAATATTTACAACTGATCGAGCTGGATATTAAAAATATTTTCTGATCGAGATTTCGATGAAATGATAAATCGAGGAAAAAAGACGACAAAATGAAGAGAGCATCGCTTTGAAACTATCCCCAAATTGCCAATTCTTCTCTTCGGATTTTTGTTTTTCTTTCTTTTCTTCTTCGCTCATTGGTGGTTCCTCGATTTGATTGCTTTGATTGTTAGCGTTATTATCATTGTTGTTGTTATTGTTGTTTTGGTTATTACCATCCAGTGGAATATCATAGAAGGCATCGTCCAAAAATTGACTGTTGACTGTAATCTGATGTGTTGGAAATTCTGGAACTGGATCCAGCTGCCCTGGCTCATTCTCTGTTGTGTTCTCCTTCTCTTTCGTTTTCTCTTCAATGAATTGACTACAGCGGTCCAATCCATCTCTCTGGAAATACTTTTTTAAAATTATCGCAAAAATAATAACTCACAATCTTCAGACAAATCTTGATGGCCATTTTCACCAATGCCCAGTTTATGATACTTTTTGAAAGCGTCCAGAAAATGTACAGTAATACTGGATATGCCAATTGAAGTTTGTTGTTTCGAATATATCGAAAAATCTTTTCCAGTGTTCCCAGATTGTCATTCTTCTGAATTAAAAGCTGCTTGCAACTTGGCTCAATTGGAGTAGTGCTGCTCAGACAGTCAACTAGGTTGTCTCCACATTTTTCTGCGTCTCCATTGAGTTTGCAGTGCTCATAGATGTAGTTACAAGAGCTCACTTCTCCTGTAAAATTGGAATAAATCGGTTTCATATCTCTATTAATTTTACTTTTAACAGGGAAACAAGTAAAGTATGTGTCTTCGGCGAAGCTGTGAAGAAGATACAAGCGATCGTCTTGATACTCAAATGGTTGCATATAGATGATACCAGTTGCATTGATGTAGGTCATTTTGTAGTCTGAAATTTACTTAGAATTGAAAGTTGCCGTTATTTGTAGGAAAACCTAAAGAGAGTGGAGGAATGCGAGGAAGATAAGCTTCAACCATTTCATGATACAGTCTGCATGTCGATCGGACTGCGCTCATGTTGGTACTTTTCTGAAAGACAGAGGTAAAGTCAAAGATTCGATCAGTGCCTTTCTGGTGTTCTAGACGACATAAACAAATGAACTTGCCTTCAAAGCCAACCCAAACGTTTTGTTGCAATTGGCTTGTTTGGAGTCTTCATGACAATCTGCACTTTTTGCCCAAGCATGATTGATGTCTACTGTAAATTACGAAACAATTATTTTCTCATTGCTCACTCCACGCACAAGCAACAGACACTCCACAGAGATATTCGACTAGAAATCTGTCCAACTCCCTCCAACACTTTTTCGAACTGAATCCTCCGTGCCACATTTGAATTGGGATGTTTATTTTACTGGTTCTAATCACTTCATCCCCATTTGACTTCTCCATACAAGGGCAGTAGGAAGATGCAAGAGACGGCATCCGGAGAATCAAATCGTTTGAGACTTTTGGAATTTCGTTAGTTTTGAAAAGAAGGCTGTGTAGATCACAATTGTCATTTTTCTGACTTTTCTTCTTTTTCACTAGATTCAAAGTTTCATCAAGGAAGTTTTGATGCCATTCAAGTCCAGTGATTACTTCGAATTTCGTGATATTTGGCATGTACTTGTTGCAGAATTCAGTATGGTTGTAGATGGGTCCGTTCTGAAAGAAGTCTTTATTTATGAAATAATAAAAATTGGTTTATCAAGCTTCTGAATTACAGGGTGGCGCTCAATTACCCGGACCTCTAAAAATGGGTATATCTTTAGACATGAGTATCTTGGAAGCACGAAATTAGGAAGCAAAGCTACTGAAGTTTCCAAAGTGATTCCTCAAGTATAATTATTGTTATGCTTGTTCAAAGATGGATGGTGTAATGTGTACATCGTTGTCATTAGATGAAACAACTTTGACAGGCGATAATTTAGCTCAAAGTTGATCAAATAACAGAAAATTTGGCCAGTATACTGATAAATTATATAAACTTTAGAATTCCAAAATTGAGCCCAGTAAAACGCTTCATTCAAATTTTATGATAGTACAAACTTCAGTTCGGGTTTTTATGCTCTGGAAAAGTCTTGTTTCACTACCGTACCTGGATACAAATCTGGAAAGAATCTCTGCATCCAGCATGATTTTTCCCAGTAACCAAACATTTCTCGTATTTCGGAAAACACAGTTTACTCTTTGTGAACTCTTGCCAACACAATTTCCGGATATCATTCTTGAAACAGGCAACTACTGAAACTAGAATTCTGATCAACAATTTCTTCATTTTGAACTTACCTAAAACTACAATGATCAGTATTAAATTTGACCTCATTCTCCAACAGATTAATTGCAAAATAAAAATATGATATCACAGAGATTGCCTTGTGATCAGATTCAACCATTTTTAAGGAGAAACTGGGCGGTCGGAAAGTCCCGAGTGATATAGAAGAAGTACCCAGATAAGATGAGTAAGAGAGAAATGGAAAGATCATTATTTTATCATTTTCTCTAATTCTCATCTTAAGAAAACTAAAAGTTGTTGTTTTCTGATAAAACGAAGACCCCATGATGAATGATTGAACGCAACGATATTCATATCTGGAACATGATTTTTCGTGATTCTTGATTTGAAGCCCCAGCTGACTTTTCTTATGAAATACACATGATATCCGTCTTCGTTTTTTAGTATCTGTAGAAATATTTCACCGTATTGCTGCTAATAACCTTGAAACGAATTTCGTTTGGATTTCCTCATGTTGTATTTGTTCTTGTTTATTATAGAACGTCATCTTTAGAATACATGGGGAAAGTATTGAGGAGGCATGATAATGAACCGGAAGCAAACCATGGGCAAAGTATATCAAGAAAAGAAAACATGAAGAACCTATATTTATGAAAGTTCGGGATCTTGGAAGGAGAAAGAGCAGTCGGCAAAGAGCAATCTTCGTTTTGTTTAAAACTGTAAAAAATTAATTAGAGTAATATTTCATGTCAGAAGCTGGAAGAACACCGTTTTGGAACTCCACAATTCTCTTTGAGCTCAATTATCTATTTTTCTGTAATTTTTTTAATCCATTCCATAAATGTGTTGATGATACAATGAAGAACGTTTTAGCAGTTGACAGGTACCGTAAAACCTGTAGGTGGGATGAGAACTCGGAAAATGAGAACTGCTACAAATGAGAGCTCGCAAATGAGAACTCAGTTTTTCCGCTCTAATTTCTTGCTCAAGATCCAACTTTTTTAGAAAAATAGTTTCGAAATGGTCTCGTTCTTCACAATACTTCAAGATTTTCCAAAAAAAAAATCCGGTTTTAACACATATCATACGAGTTTTTATTTGTAATCATGTCGTGACGGCATATTGGGTGGTGAGCCCCTAACCGTACGGATGAGCAAGAGAGCATAAATTTATCTAGTTTCAAATGAGAACAACATTAAGCCGTTTAATTTTAACTAATTTATTAAACACAAAAGAGTTATCGGCTGACTCCCGAATGGAGCTTTATCTTCTTCCGAGTTGTCCTCGTGGTCCATCCGTATCCATCCTTGTCCCTCGGTGGTCGAGCTGCCGTTGAGTCGTTCTTCGTAGACTTGAGCCGATTGGAATGGAACGAATGTAGACATCTATTTTCGAAGCTATTTTTCTGAAATTTTTAATCAAAATATTCGGTGTAAAATTGTTGTAAATCCATGAAAATCTACTGATTTCCCCAGAATTGAGCAAGTTTATTGAGCAAGAAGTTGTGTTCCTACAAATTTATGAGAAATTGCCTAACTTCCAGAATAATGTTTAATTTCAAACAAATCGTTTTGACGGGGTCCTTCTATTACAGGGGTACTTGTATTTGAGGGGGCGTTGGACTCCTATAGTGGTGTGTGGTATGTAGTCATGGACTACCGAGCGCTTCATGTCTATGGGCTTTCTAGCTCCGGTGTCCCGGGCCTTCTAGCTTATAGGGAACCTGTAGGGTTGAGAATCGAATTCTTCAAAATTTTGCTCAAACTCACTAAAACTTCAGGAAATTCTGCAAAACGGTTTTTTTGGCCTATCTATGTACTGCCTACATAAAGTTAAGCACAAATATTCAAGACTGAAATTTTTTGAAAATTTCGTTTTTTTCGTATATCACTTAAATTTTGATCCTGCGGACTGCTGGAAATGGGTCATAGTAATTTTCTTTTGAATACAAGGTTCTTAATTTATGCAAAAAATCCCGGAAAATTCTAGAACATTCTAGAAAATTTCAGAAAATTCTAGAACATTCTAGAAAATTCCAAAACGTTCCAGAACATTCTAGAAAATTCCAGGAAATTCCAGAAAGTTTCAGAAATTTTCAGAAAATTCTAGAGCATTCTAAAAATTTCGAAAACATTCTACAATATTCTAGAAAGTTCTATAAAACTACAGAAAATTTCAGAAAATTCTAGAAATTCTCAGAAAATTCTAGAAATTCTCAGAACATTCTAAAAAATTCCAGAAAATTCGATAAATTTCCAGAAAATCAAAAACATTCTAGAAAGATAACAAAAAAATCAGTAAATTCTAGGAAATTCCAGAAAATTCTCGGAAATCCCAGAACATTCCATAGGTTTCTAGAAACTTCCAGAAACTTCCAGAAAGTTCCAGAACAATCTAGAAAATTCCAGGAAATTCCAGAAAATTCCAGAACATTCTAGAAAATTCCAGAAAATTTCAGAAAGTTCCAGAACATTCTAGAAAATTCCAGGAAATTCCAGAAAGTTTCGGAAATTTTCAGAAAATTCTAGAGCATTCTAAAAATTTCGAAAACATTCTACAATATTCTAGAAAGTTCTATAAAACTACAGAAAATTTCAGAAAATTCTAGAAATTCTCAGAACATTCTAGAAAATTCCAGAAAACTTTAGGAAATTCCAGAAAATTCGATAAATTTCCAGAAAATCAAAAACATTCTAGAAAGATAACGAAAAAATCAGTAAATTCTCGGAAATCCCAGAACATTCCATAGATTTCTAGAAACTTCCAGAAACTTCCAGAAAGTTCCAGAACAATCTAGAAAATTCCAGGAAATTCCAGAAAATTCCAGAACATTCTAGAAAATTCCAGAACATTTCAGAAAGTTCCAGAACATTCTAGAAAATTCCAGGAAATTCCAGAAAGTTCCAGAACATTCTAGAAAATTCCAGCAAATTCCAGAAAATTCCAGAACATTCTAGAAAATTCCAGCAAATTCCAGAAAATTCCAGAACATTCTAGAAACTTCCAGAAAGTTCCAGAACAATCTAGAAAATTCCAGGAAATTCCAGAAAATTCCAGAACATTTTAGGAAATTCCAGAAAATTTCAGAAAGTTCCAGAACATTTTAGAACATTTTAGAATTTCCAGGATATTCCGATTTTTTTGAATGCTCAACGTAAGCCCCTGTTGAAGTTGAAAAAAGGGCACATAATTCGGAGGGTACAAAAATTCGGGGGTACAAGAGGGTACAAAGCAATTTAAGGG